AGCTGGGCTGTTCGAGTACAGCTTTTCAGGTCCTTTTAAACAAAATGCAGACTGTGCCACTGGTTATGTCTGGTCTGTTCTGAAACGTGAAAGGATATCATTCACCGAACAGCCACATCTCTCTGAAGGGTTGCAGACCAGGGATTTGTTTCCACAGGGCAGGACATAGAGGGTGGAGCAGAGGAGTGGGGGTAGGCACCTGATTGTTTCTGATTTGTCCCTGCCATGCTTCTGAGAGGCTGTTGGGCTAGTATCAGAGCATGCTTTTCATGGACAGAGTTGATGGTTATGGATGGAATGCTGTCCTGTTTCAGAACCAGGTCAGAACCGGGAGGAGAAGGCTTGGAGTGAAAGTGTTTAAAACAACAGGGCCAGCACTGTCCTGCAGTGGGTGATTATCAGCTTCAGTGTGGCCCCCCCAGTGGACACCGTACCCCTGCTGAAAATAACATTGGTTCTGGCCCTACCTTCAGCATGCCAGAATCTCTCCACCCTTCCTTATTTTTAATCATTGCTGTGTTTTGCTCTGATGGGTTTTGCTGGCAAATGCCTGACACAGCTTGCCTTGGAGTAAAGCTGATGTTGAAGGCATGCACATTTATTTGAGAGAAAAAGTTGGTTTTCCTCCTGTTCCCTCCTCTATTTTCAAAAAGTCTGTGAAGGCTCCAGCCCTGTCTTAATCCAAGCTCCTCTGCAATTGGTGCAACCAGTGCACTCCCTCCAGACGTGTATGCCAGATGAATTAATGTTCCTTGGGGAAGGAACATACGCATCCAGGGGAGTCTATGTGCTACAGAGCATATGCTGTGCATCAGTCTGGTAAAAGTGAAAGGCAGTGGCAAGCTGGGATCACTGGAGTGGCTGTGATGAAGACAGCACTTAGGCTGAGTTGTCACACCCTGCCACTCAGTGTCAACTCTGAACATCACTTCTTTGTTAGCAGCTGGGCTAATTGCTTGGTGCTTTTACTCCATAAAGGAGAATGCTAATAGGCATTTTTTCCTTGGGATGAAACAGAGAGTTTTTTCTCCATGGCTTTCAACAAAATGAAGAGCATACCAAGGTTTAAGACATCATAAATTCAGGCTGAGGTTTCCTCTTGAAGCATAGCTGGTTGGGATGGTGGACCACTGAGATATGAGGTGTCTGTATCATTATCATTATGTTACTGGCCTTGCTGTGTTTTTCTGGAAATTGCAGCCATTCTTCAGTCAAACATTACTGTGTAGAGTTTCAGTTTTGGTGGGGCCTAGAATGGGAGATGGGGGCTGTAAGTGAATCTAGAATATTCACAAACAGATCAAGTGTGATAAGTGCTGAGCATGGCAAGATTGAGATAGTTTGACATAGGGAGCTAAATCGCTGTAGAACTGGTCTGTAATGGAATAAGTGAAGAAAACAGTATAAAATGCCTAGCAGTTATGGTGTATTACAGGAAAGCTGGAAAGTCTGGCAGAGCTTAGAGTCTACAGCTTACATGTTTTATCTGTGAGCTTGGAAAGCTGTTAGAAAGTATTGCATTTACCACAGTAGCTGCTTATCAAATTCCTGTAATTTCTGCTGGATATGGTGGTCACAACCTCCGTGCATTCCATGTGGTTGTGGGGATGCTTTGACAGAAGGAGAAAGGACGCATCAGGAGTGTGTTGCTGGGGACAGAAACACTATAGTCTATAAACCTGGTTTCTGGCCAAAGCTCATGTGCTGTGAGACTAAAGAGGTCTGGAGTTTTTTTTTGTAGCTTCTGTTTTCTGTGTTTACTGATAGCAGAGATTAATGTAAGTGTCTCTAGATTAAAATCAGCAGCCATTGCTGGACAGGCAATTACTAGCAAGATCATTACAATCCCTTTTAGCCTTGAATCTAGGATTAGGGGGAATATAATCTATTACATTTTTTCAGCCTGTGTTTTTCAAGAGTAAAGCTGCATGAGAAATCCATGTCCAACCTTGCTTTGCATCACAAAGCCCTTTCTTGGCGCTTGTTTTGGTGGTAATGCTGCTGTGGATTCTTTATGTGTAGAAACTGTAGACTGCAGAAGAGAGACCTATTTTCAGCTTTGGTTGCTCTTAGCTCTTGATTAGAATTCATTATAAGCACTTTACAGAGGGAGGCAAGCATTACTAAGTTCAGCAGATTAGTAAACTGAGGTATGAAGGGAAAATGATGGACCTGGAAAGTGCTGAAAGTAAGAAGAGACATCAGTCTTTTCCCTGAGTAACACCACTTGGACCCTGCTAAAATATCCTGCCCTGAAGGCAGCTTGCACAGTAGCCATGCACAGGTCATCTGCATTTCCTAAACCCTCAGTGATATGAGCACTGAGTCTTCAAACTACCTAAAGCCACTTGAGAACTGAAGTCTCACTTTACTGCTAAGAATCTATAATTTCCCCCGAACAAGAGGCTTATGTTACAGACAACCAGTATTGATTTGACAGCCTTTTGGTAACTTGTACTTTGTGAGCACAAGAAGTACTCACTTAGTACTTACTTTTTGTACTAGGTACAAAAAGTACTTACTTAGCCCTCCCGTTGTACTAAGTAATAAGCTAATCAACTATCAGAATTAACTACTGGAATAGCAGAAGGAAGCATCCCTTATTCTTCAGTGCATGTATGGGCACCCTCAGTCAATATGAAGCTTTAGAATGGAGAAGTTGGAAGATAGTTTTTCTTATGCAGCCCTGTTGACTAGTTTTGGCGAACAGGGGAAGGAGCACACCCTCCCTCTTGCTGGGTGTTCCTCCTTCGCATCCCAGACATGGCTCCGAGAGGCAAAGCAGAAGCTGGGAGCTGTTGTACTGTTAATTTCACTAAGTGGCCGATGCTGGTGCTTCCTTTCTTTCTAAACTTCTGGTGGTTTGTGGTAATGTTCAATCTCATAGTGCAGTAGTGCCTAGCAGGGTACAGATGTTTCTTGTCAGCTTTGGCCATCTTTCAGGGCTATAAATACTACCTTTAATAAAGAGCAGTGGTGAAAGAGGACTGTGATATATAGTGAGGTGAGGCTCTGTGAATTGGCATGGCTTTTGAAGCAGCATTTTTACATTAGATTTACATTAGATCCGTAGATTTGTTAGCTCACCTGGGTATGCTTTGCCCTTGTCAGTTGTTAGAGATGGGAATTTGGAATGAGTTGTGCCTGATTTGAATGGACAAAGTGTTGCTCAGGGCTTGTGTCAGGGTACTGTGTTATTAGCTTTCTTCACAAGTTTGGTATAGGCCAAATTTAGAGAATTTCAGACATTTGCTAGTGGCATTTGGCTTTGGATAGGGCCAAAGAGGCATTTTCCACAACAGTGATGTCAGGAGGGTCTTTTTTCTTTTCTAGGATGACTGATGGCCAGTAATATTAGTGTTGTTTGAATTGTATTTACAGTATTTATTTCCTACTAGGCTTTGAGACTGACTCCCTTTTGTTATAGCACGATTTTATTTATGCTGAAATAATTGCAAACCAGTGCAAATCCCCAGTTCTTGCAGGAACCGGTTTCCCCAGATACTTGATAAAGAAGTTGTACCCACAGGGTAAATGTGTGATATTTCTGATGTTGTAGAAACACTGAAAGGATGGAATCAGAGGTAAAATGGGCAAATCTCTGTTCTGTACATGTCCTTCTCTTAAACCATGCGTGAGAAGTGAGGTAGGAAGCAGGTGATAATTTGTGGCATGCTGAATACCTAATTTTTTTATTTTAAGCTCACCTTATATGAAATCTCATCTTTGAGGAGTTAATGAATGACTAGCAGACATTTGAGTAAATGGCTAGACAATTGTTACTGGAGCACAGCGATCAGTTGTTTTAACCATGGCTTGTCAAGTCTGAAAATTACAGTGGTATGTGAAACTGTGGTATGTTGTTTAAAGTGCTGTGTGTACAAAGTCATCTTTAACTCATTCCACTCATATCTGTCCTGTGCATGACCCTTGCTGATCATTCATTATCCCTGTGTAAATGGCATTTTAGTAAAAAGAATTTCTATATAGTATAAAAATATAGAAATAAAAATAGAAAAGTTGTCAAGTGCACACACACACACACGTACACGGAATTGAGATTTTGCAAAATTTTCATGCCAGTGTCTGAGAAAAGCTTCTAAAGTTAAAAATCTGCCTTTGTGCAGGGGTGTGTATGTGGGGGTGTGCTTTTTGGTGCGGCGGGCTCTTGCCTCTTTCATGGGAGAAGCAAAGCAGGCACACAGCTCAGCCAGAGCTCTCCTATTGTATTAGAGGTGGGAGGAATGTGTAAGTGCAAGATTTATCTGCAGTGCCCTGGGATTGCCATGCTGAACATTTTGACTTCCAGCAGCTGGTGAGGGAAATGATTTTCACCATGAGGGAGCAGGAGGGAGGCAAGGAGTTCTCCAGGCTGGCATGGGTGGTTTGTGTCTCTCATAATCCAAACTGGGTTCCTTGCTCCGAGTCCTGCTTTTTCTAGCAGTGCCTCCCATGGGATGTCCACTGCTTATGGGTGACACAGAAGCCACTGAGAGTTCTGGTGATGCTGTTTTAGATTTAAGGAATTGCATTGTTTCCAAGACAACTGGGGAAGAATGAGGAAGGGACTTGTTCTGACTCAGCTTGGAGTAACTGATCACCGTAGCTTAATTACTGCATTTCTCCTGGAAAATGGTTAATTTCCTACTTTTAAAGAGGCCTCTTCAAGCCAAGCAAACAATTGGGTTAAAAAATACTAATGCAAGAAGCATTAGTGCAGTTACAGTTGTAGGCTGATAATAGCAAAGAGCTCTTTCTGAAGTGAGCCCAAGTTGAGGATACTTAGCATAGTCAGAAGAAAGTCCATGTTGTTTGTCTGTTTGTTAAAAACCCTTAACTTCTGCTAAGTCAATGTCCCTATTCTACACTGCTTCTTCAGTTAAGTGGATTTTGTTAACATTGTGTCATCTTGCCTCTGTACAGTTAATTGCTGGCTGTTCTAAGAGGAAACTCTAATGTTATCTTATTTTTCTTCTTTCCATATTCTTTTAATCTCACAGCAATGTTGGCCTACAGAATGTGGTGTTAGACTCCAGTGCAGCCATGGGGAGCAGTGAACTTCAGGAGAAAGATGCCACTGGAGCCCTTGGCCACGACCTCAGCAATGGCGGCAGCAGCAATTTGGAAGCAGCCAGGCGCCTGGCTAAGCGCCTCTACCATCTGGACAGATTCAAACGCTCTGATGTAGCAAAACATTTGGGTAAAAAGTATGTGCTGATATGAGGACATGCTTGGCCACATTCTTATTGATGGTTCTGGCAGGGTTCACTCTTGAATGATAACCTTTACTTATTTCTTCGCTTTTCTTTAGCAATGAATTCAGCAAGCTTGTGGCCGAAGAATATCTTAAATTTTTTGACTTCACAGGCATGACGCTGGACTGTTCTCTCAGGTACAATTCCATTTGTGGACTTCATATTCTTATTTTCGTAACAGTGCTGTTTGCAGTATTGTCCTGATTTACATGATTGTCCTTTTGGGATATAAGAAGATGAAGAGAGGACTGTGATGTATTTTGGGGGCAGAGCTTTCCTCTTCTGTTTGGCTTGGTGTGCTGCCCTACTCCTAATGCTACTGGAGTGGTGGCCACGTGGAGAGGGAAATATTTAGGTGGACCTCCCTAGGGATGGTCCTTGAAACAATGGAGAAAAGGGTACAGTCCACTGGCAAAATAGGGGACTTGTAGTCTGCCGGGTGCTAGTGAGGAATTACAGTGTTGCTTGTAGCTGATCTGCACAGACTGTGGCTGATGCCTTTTAGAGCATACCGTGCTTTGCTGCACTGCACTAAGACCTGGTGGTGTGGTTTGGCAGTTCCCCTCTCTGTGTCTCCCTGAGGAATCCAGAAATGTGCAGAACAGCAAATGCTTCTATGTGGAAAAAGCTGTAGTGAGTTTGGTAACTGTCGGCGTGGGTGTTTGAAGACCCAACCCTTCCACTTTCTTTGCGTTTTACATTGGAATCAGACCTCAACAACGTTTATTTTCAGTGGTTTTTTTCAGAAGTCAAAACGCCAAGTTTGTGTAGCAGTGGCCTAATAGCACAGTTGCTGGTGTTCTGGTGTTTAAGGGGATTTAAATGAGTTTAACTCATTTGACTGAGGTTACTTAAGTGGGAATTTTTTTTCTAATGAAAATCTAGAAGATGTGCACGCACTTCTTAGCCCCTTTGCAAATGCATTTCTGTGGGTCTGATGCTATGAGACCACAGCAGATCAAAGGCACCCACAAAGTTCTGCCCGCTGAAGGCGGTGGAAATGGAACATGCCTGCACAAACATGAATCACCTGGTCCTGAGGCAGGGGGAGTGGAGCCAAGCTGGAGTACCTGCTCAGCGTGGCGGGTGGGAGCTTCTGGGCGGTGGGAGGTCTGTTGCTCAGTTCCAGGTTTCAGCAACCCTGAAGCATGATGCTAAATATACCCTTCTTTTAAATTGTGAAATCCAACACATAATTGCTTTGTGGCACATGTTTAGGAGGTCTCTGCTCCCTGTAGATCTCCTGTTAATATTAGTATTTAGGACATCCTCTAAAATGTGTGCAGGCTCATGTAGGACTTAAACAAGCCAAGGGTTTGTTGAGGTTTCAAGAGTAGCTACAGTAATTGCCAGCTACATGCCCTAAGCATGCAACAGCATCTGGGGACAGAGAATCGTTCCAAAACCTTAGGAAACTGAGGCATGCTACCTCATGCTTGGCAGAGAGTGAGAGAAAACAGTGCTGTTGTTGCTGGCTCACTGAGAAGCTGTGGTTTACTGAGCATTTTGAGGTCACCTACTGAGATCTACCTCCCAGCTGTGGGAGGCTGTTGTGCAGCATCAGTGACAGGTCTCAGACCTGGGAAGGGTTGTTCCTTCACCGTCCACTCCCTGGATTCATGTTGCCCGTCCACCTCCTGAGTACATCTCTTGCAGCTTCTGCAGGATGGCAGGAGGGAATGTGGTGCTGTTCTGGCTCCTCTCAGTGTGCATTCTGGAGTCCAACCCTGGACATGGGGAGAGCAGACTTAAGGCTGCTCAGGGAACTAGTTACTAAGGTTCCCTGGGAAAATACTTCTGGAGGTGCTGGGATCCATCAGTGCTGGTCACCACCTCCTAAGGGCACAGGGGCAGGCAAATCCAGACAAGGCAGAAGGCTAACTTGAATGATCAGGGATCTTCTGGAGCTAATAAAAAAAAAAGTGTTTGTCCAATGGGAGAAGGGTCAGGTGATGTGGGAAGAATACAAATTTGCTGCTCACCACTGTAGAGAGAAAATTCCGGCTGACAAAGTTCAGCTGGAGTTGAGCATTGCCAGTACTGGTGTGGGACAACAAAAAGATTTTTTTAAAAAATAAGTCAATAGAAAAAGGCAATGTAGAATGGCTCAGTGCATTGAGGGACCATGGCTGTGAGAATGATAAACTCCCAGCAGACCCTGAACTTGTGTGGGATCTGTTGCTCCATCTGGATCCTCATGAGTCTATGAGGCCACATGGGATTTATCCAGAAATACTAAAAGAACTGGTTGATGTCATTGTGAGGTCTCTCTTAATGATTTTGGAATGGTCTTGGTCATCTGAAGAGGTCCCAATTGACTGGAAACTGTCTAACCTTCAAGAAGGGCAAGAAGGATGACCCTGGAAACTATAGGCCTGTCAGTCTCAGTTCAGTACCTGGTAAAATAATGCAGAAAATTATTCTGGGAGGTATTGAAAAATACCTGAAAGACAATGCAGTGATTGGTCACAACCACCATGGCTTCATGAGGAAAAAGTCCTGCTTAACCAACCAAATTTCATTTTAGGAAGTGACCCACTTAGATGATTCAGGGAAGCCAGTTGATGTGATGTATTTGGATTTCTGTAAAGCTTTTGATACTGTCTTTCAGGACTCTTCTGGAGAAAATGTCCAGCCCACAGCTGGACAAACACATCATGTGGTGGGTGAGCAGCTGGCTCATGGGTCAGGCACAAAGGGCTACAGTGAATGGGGTGACATCAGACTGATGTGATCTGTCACTAGTAGGGTTCCACTGGGCTCCATCCTTAGCCCTGTGCTCTTCAACATCTTTATAAATGACTTGCACACAGGACTTGAACATATAATAAGTAAGATTGATGATACTAAACTGGGAGGAGCTATTCACTCCCTCAGAGGAAGAAAGGTCCTCTAGGGATACTTTGATGAATAATAGGTCTGGGGAACTACCAACTGTGTGAAATTTAACAAGGGCAAGTGCTGGATTCTGCAGCTGTGATAGACTGGGAAATGAGCTGCTGGAGAGCAGTGCTGTGGAAAAGGACCAGGGAGTCCTTATGGAGGGAAAGTTGAATATGAGTGAGCAGTGCCCTTGCAGCCAGGAGGACCAACTCTGTCCTGGGGTGCATCAGGCACAGCATCAGCAGCTGGGCAAGAGAGGGGATTGTCTCACTCTGCTCTGCACTGGGGCTGCCTTGCCTCAAGTGCTGGGGCCAGTTCTGGTACCTTCAATACAAGAAAGATACAAAGCCTACCAGAAGGTATCTGGGAAAGGTCAACCAAGATGGTGAAGGGCCTGGGAGGGAAGCCAAAGAAGTGGCTGAGGTTCCTTGGTCTGTTCAGCCTGGAGGAGACTGAAGGGAGACTTCATTGCAGTCTACAACTTTCTCACAAGTGGAAGAGGAGGGGCTTGCACTGGTCTCTTCTCTGTGGTGACCTGGACAGGATGTGAGGGAATGGCTTAAAGTGTCAGGGGATGCTTAAGCTGGACATTAGAGAGAGGTTCTTTGCACAGCAGGCGATTGGGCACTGGAACACACTTGCCAAGGACGTGGTCGCAGCACCAAGTCTGACAGAGTTCGGGAAGTGTTTGGACAGCATTCTCAAGACATGGTGTGATTCTTAGGGGTGTTTTGTGCAGAGTCAGGAGTTGAACTTAATGATCCTTGATGGGTGCCTTCCAGCTCAGTGTATTCTATGTTCTCTGGTGGACAGAAACTCATCCCTGTGGCCCTTGGCTGTAGCATTGTACTCTGAGAGTGAGGAAACTGCCTTGTTTATTTACCAAATATTCTTTCATCAGTTTCCTCTCCAAGTTAGCTTCCAAGGGGGTAAATGTGCTGCAGAGGAGGAGAAGGTGTAGGTCAGTAGTATCTGACATGGGCAGGGAGTGTTGCTGGAAAGAACCCAGACTGGGGTAGGAGACAGAAAGATGGCTGATTCTCAAAATGTGCCTTGGGAGCTGTTGTGAATTTAGGAACAGTATTCCCCAATTTAACGTTCCCACTGAAACACTCCAAAACATGTGCCGCTTGCTCCCTTCCCCCACCCCCTCTCTATGGGGCATCTGGAGAGGAGAGCTGGAGGCACAAAAGGCAAAGATCAAGGGTTGACATAACAACAGTTTACTGGAAACAGTAAATGAAACAAGAAAACAAGGGGTAACAGCTACAATATTAATAACAGAGTGTACAAGGAAGGTGAATGATTCACATGCAAGCACTCACCATGTGGAAACCAGCAATACCCTGACTACTCCACCATGTTAGCTGACCAGAATGGACGCCCTCCCCCCCACAACCTGTTCCTGAGGTTGTGCAGAATAACATCAGGCTCCTAGGCATGCTCCTCCTGGCTATTGCAAAAATTAACTGTCCTGGCCAGAATCAGTATGTTTTCCATCCCTTATGCTATACCCTCTATATCATGTCCAGGTCCTACACCTTCCAGCTACATATATATGTATGTATATATATATATGTAAATGCAAGCATGAGTATCATTTCCATAGTCAGTGACTGTCCTTTGAAGATGTCTGTTGAGTTCATGTAGTCCATGACTGTGGGTTCTGTCTGTTCTAGATGTCTTCCAGGGCAGAAGGGCTGCTTGCTTTCACCTGGTTGCAGTCTGCATCAGGAGCTCATGACTGGTATATCTGGAACAGTGCATATTCATTCTCCATAGTAGTTATGGCATACAGTGACAGTGCCATTCAGAAAACAGTATTGTACAATTGAACATTACAGACCATTCTCACCCAAAAACTGAATGCCATTGGGGTACACCTCATGTTTCCCTGTCCCTCTACATTACCCATCAAGTGCCATCAGGTCCTTGAGCAAAACCAATCCCATGAATTGATTGGCCTTTGCAGAAAGGTGGGACCAGTCCCGACCGTATTCCCTAACACATTTCTCCTTCATACCACAGGGTCTTCATCCCCTGCTGTAGTGCATAGTAATTTTGATTGGGCAGGACCAGCTTGATTGGTAGAACCTCTTGTATTAACTAATAAGGTGGCCTTTGCTAAATGCAGATCCCCATGTTTGAAGGTGCCACCACCCATTGCTTTCAAAGCCATTTTTTACAGTCCATTGTACTGTTCAGTTTTCTCAGAGGCTGGTGCATAATAGGCAATGTGTTATAACCACTCAATCCTGTGCTCTCTGGCTCGTGTGTCTGTGGGACTCCTTTTGAGATGAGTCCCATTAGTCCAACTCACTTCTTCCTAGGGTGCCATGTTGCTGCAGAAGTTGCATCTCAAGGCCCAGGTTGGTGTTCTGGGCCTTGGTGTGAGGCACAGGGTTCATTTCCAGACACCCAGTGGTTGTTGCCACTATTATAAGCACTTGTATGGCTTGCCTTGGTGTGTTTGCAGCAGTGTGATGTAACCAGCTTGCCAGGCTGCCCCATATCTGTGTTTCAAACATCACCCACCGTACCAGAGAGGCCTTACCTGCATGGCCTTCTCAATCACAGCGCATGTTTCACAGTTATGGGTAACTGAGGGGCATTGTCCATGGTTAAATCTGCCCCTTGATCACAAGCCCACATGTATGTTGTATCTCTTACTCTGACGACCTGAGGCATCTTGAGCCCACTGAGCCAGAAGTAATTTGCTCTCACATTGCCAGTCCAGATTAAGCCGAACTACTTTAATCTTGGTGGTCTGATCCACCTCTCCATCGTTGCGATGCTCTTCAGCATCCTGACTCTTGGGTACATGTGCATCTCATGATGTTCTTCTATAGCCAGCTTCTCTACCAGGGCAGCGATTTCTTGCCACAATTCATCAGCCCAGATGGGTTTCCATCTGTACTGCCAATTGGCCTTTTTCTGTCAGTCCTGTCACCCAACATAGCATTGCCCACTATTCACAAGTCGGTGTAGGGGTAGATTGCTGGCCATTTCTCTTGTTCAGTGATACTTAAGCCAGCTGGATGGCTTTCAGCTCTGCAACCTGGCTTGATCCACCTTGTCCTTCAGTAGCTTCTGTGACTCGTCATATAAGGCTGTCTATGGCTGCTTTCTATTTTTCATTTGTCCCTGTGATATAAAAGAAACTGTCAGTAAAGAGATTGTATTCCTTTTCATTTGTAGGTAGCTGATTGTATGGTGGGCCCTCCTCAGCATGTGTCCTCTTCTGATTATGATGATGATTGTAGTCTGAAATTTTCAGCTTCAGGCCAATTAGTGGTGACTTCCAAGACCCCTAGGTGATGGGGATTTCCTATTCAAGCTCTCTGCGTGGTCAGAGTAATCCAGTTACTCCACAGTGGCATGATGTGTTGCAGGGACTTTCTCTTTGAATATCCAGCCCAGTGCTGGCAGCTGGGGCCTCAGGAGGGGCTGTGCTTCAATGCCAGTCACTTCTGAGGCAGCTCCAACCCCTTCATAAGTTGCCAGTGTCTCTGCTTCATTGCGGTTGTAGCTGGTCTCAGATCCTTTGTATGTCAAAGTGTTTGTATTACCAACTTCAGAAAACCAGGGGTTGTCGTCAAATCTCCAGATGTACCCTTTTGCCAGCAACTCCCAGAAGGACCGTTCTTCCTGATTGCACTGTGGAGCATATTTTTTACATTTCTCCTGACTGGCTACTGCATGAGCAATCTCGTGTTTAATTTGTTCAAAATCTTATTATTGTTCAGAAACCTGCTTGAAATTGTTCTTCTTTGGTATCACTTGATAGAGAGGTTTTAAAATCTGACTATAATCTGAAATATGCATCCTTCAAAAACCCACAGTGCCTAGGAAGACCTTCTTGATGGTTGGTGGGGACATAGCTACTGTTCCAGTGACCATGTCCATTGGAATCTGATGGGCATCCCTCTTGCCATTTTACTCCTAAAACCTGAGTTTTCTGGGCAGGTCCCTTGATCTTACCTCCCTGTGTGGCAAAACCAGCCTTCAGGAGGATTTGGACTGTCTTCTCCCCTTTCTCAAAAACTCCTGCTGTGTTGCTCTGCATGATCATGTTGTCAATATATTGGAAGTATTCTAGAACCTCACCCTTTTCCTCACTTCCTTTTCCGGTGCAGTCTGGATTAGTGCAGGATAAATAATGGGGTTCTGTTTCTACCCTTGGGGAAGTCAGTTCCAGGTGTATGTCACACCCCTCCAGGTAAAACACTGAGGCTTGCACCCTGCTGTTAAAGGAATGGAGAACAGCATGTTAGCAATGCTGATGGCGGCACAACTTCACTGCTTTGGACTCTAGCTCATACTGAAGTCCCAGCGTGTTGGGAACAGTGGCACTCACTGGTGGTGTGACTTTTTTCAGGCCATGATCATCTATTGGTCCTGGGCTTACACACTGACCATATAGCACTGTTAAAGGGTTAACAAGTCTTGCTGACCACTCCCTGGCTCTCCAGTTCACAGATCATCTCGTGGGTGGGGGTCACAGAGTCCCAGGCGGTGCAGTGTTGTCTATGGCACAGTAGCCATGTGGTAGCAATTGTTTCTGTTGTTCTTCGACCCTCAGCAGTCCCTAAACAGAGGGATCCTCTGAGAGACCAGCAAGGCATTCAGCTGTCTCGTTTCCTCTGTCTCCACAGCAGCTATCCCAAAAATCCTAACAATGCCTTTTTGGGTCCTTGAAATACTTACCCTCTTTTGGGGTAACCTATGCTAAGGATGCACAGGGCCTCTGGGCCAGTCACAGTAGGGTGTTTTTGCCATTCATTTCCAGTCATGCTCTCTCCACCTTCCAGTGCAGTCAGCTGTTGGGATCCCCTTGGCACCCCAGAAAGAGATGGATTCTGTCCCCACATATCTTGGTGGCATCAGGGTACATCATGTGGTGGTGTGAACTAAAGCCTTAGACACACTCTTGTGTGTCTGATGTGCCACACAGTCCAATAGATCTGATTGGCCCTTTCTTCTACCTGGCTGGGGCCTCTGTAGTTCTAGTAATAGTACATGTTCCTCACTTCTTGTGAATATGAGCTGGAGGTCCCTTCAAGCGCATCAGAAGTAACATCAGTCCTTATATTAAAAATTAACTCTGTCCTGGCCAGAACCAGGACAGGAGCACAAAGTAGGAAGGACAGAGAAACCCTGTCAAGATTCACTTACGAATTCACTACTTGTGAACTGGATTATTTGCAATACATTACATGTGAAATTAAGTTATTACCAGGCAGATCACACTCTGTGTGGGTGTGAGATTGTTGCAAGTACAGGCTGTCTCTGACCTTTTTTCAGAGAGAAAAAAATTAAAGTTTGTGCATTGAGACTAGATAGATGTGAATGTTCTAGCAATATATTTCATTCCTCTCAGATCTGGTGTTAGTTTCTGTCTAATGGGATGTTTAAAAATTGTCTGTTAGACAGTCATTCTGTATGTCTTCTCACTTCAGATCCAGAAGTTTTGTGTTTTTATTGTTTTCTTAGAAACATCCTGATAAATGAATGTAGAAGGTAATCTTTGGCTGTGAGATGGATTTTTTCCTATGTGGGAAGAACAGCAGTGTGGTTAGGAGGAAGTGTGGTCAAGTAGGAGAATAGAAGTGAAAGATGTGTGTCCTCCCCACCTCTCTGCACAGGCTTGCTGGCTATATCCAGTGAGTGCCCAGATGTACACCAGCCCTGCACCTTGGGCTCTCACAAGCAAGAACCTCAGGAGGGCCAAGTTACTCCTCCTGTTGTTGAAACTCAGTGGAAGATGTTGCAAGTCTTCTACCCTTTTCCTCAGATATTTTCAGCAGGTCCAAGTGGTCACACTCCTCCCCGTCTGATGTGGTCTTGGCCATTCTGATAAGTGACCACACATTCGGTATTAGCTGTGGGTGCTGTGCACTTGCTTGACTTCACCACCTGGAGTAGCTTTTCTGATTTGGAAAGCAGTACTAATGAAGTAAAGTTAAAAGGTGCAGGGGTGGTGGGCAATTAGAAGAGAATAGGTAACATCCTGGATATCTTATCATGCATAAAAAACATGTTCCAACTCCTTGCCCACAGAAAACAAATTTAAAAGTAAGAACAGCTCTTTCAAATAGTGGAATTACTTATTATTTTGTGTATTCAGTGGCTGAGACCGATGGTAATTTAAATCTTCTTTCATTTACTAAAATGTTGGAATTAACTGCACGCAGAATGATAGCTCAATTTCCTAGAAAGACTTCTTGGAACTGAATGTGTGCTTATGTACTTCTTGCTGTGGCGTGTGCTTTGCTCTGTGCACTGTGTGAAGCAAAAAGAGATTTATTACCTTAATTTCACCTTTTTTTCCACTGCTCTTTTAGGAGTTTCTTTAAAGCCTTTTCACTTATTGGAGAAACTCAGGAACGAGAGAGAGTTTTAATCCACTTCTCCAGCAGATACTACCAGTGCAACCCAAACGCCATTTCTTCTCAAGGTAACTTTGTTTGTGATACTGAGGTCTCTATGAACATACGGTGTATGCCTGGAAAATGAAGCTGTGTAGTCACTGTACCACACTTTAGAGACTGTCTCTGGTAAGTATTGAAACCCTGAGCACGAAAGGTGTTCGATGTAAATAGATCCTCAGTGTAAATTCTCAGTTGTGACACTTCCAGATTTGTCCTCAGTTGTAGTTTCTGGTCTTGCTGGATTCGGTGTGTGGGCGCTTGTACTCCAGCTGCACTCGTGGACAAGAATAGGTCCCGTGTCAGGTGAAAGAGAGGCTGTTCGCTTTCTGTGCTCCATTCAGCTCTTGCATGCACTGGCATCAGGCATGTCAGTTCTTGCCAGTTGTGGGGGTGAATTTTGGGTGATGTATCCAGACCCTGGCATGGTTTCATCTCGACTAGTTAACATCAGTCATAGTGCTCTTCCATGCCAATGTTTTCAGTCAGTTTGGAAATAAATTATGGAAACAAACAAGCATATAGATCAAACCTGAGAAAACTGGGATTGCAGAAGAGGACAAACTGTCTGTTGGCATAACTGCTGTGTTCAGCCAAACATGCTGGCAGAGCCTTGTGGCCCTGTGATTGCAGCACATGCTGATCACACACTGAAGGAGGAGGTTGAAAAAGAAGGCAATCATCGGTTTAGCTGTACTTTAAGTTTCAAGTCTGAGAAGGAGCTGCTACAGTTGGAGGTAGGCTGTGCCTCCTTACCCCTTGCTTTGTGACCTACCCCTGTTGCAGTGAGATAATGTTTGGGCACTTCGCACCTCTTCAGCTTTACTGGCTGTCATGCAGGGGAGGGAAAAAGTTGGGAGTAAGATAGGATCTGCTTCTGTGCTGTCTCTGTACTCTGCCTATTGCCTTTCTTATTTCAAGAATGACTGCAGGCAGTCAGGTAGAAAAGTGCATCATGTCCAGAGTGAAATAATGACTTGCCTGATGATATGGCTATCTCACTCTAGTCAAGACTGCAAGAGGGATATTGTGGCTTTGGGCCCCAAGTAAGCATTTAAATCCTGCACACTTAACCCAGGATCCTAGTACTATGTACAGTTTGGGCACCACAGTATAAGAAAGATACAAACCTATCAGAGAGTATTCTGAAAAAGGATATGAAGATGGAGAAAGGTCTAGAGGGGAAGCCAGATGAGGAGCAGTGAGATCACATAGTTTGCAGAGTCTGGAGGAGACTGAGGGGAGACCTCATTGCAGTCTACAGCTTCCTTTATGAGGGGAGGAGGTGAGGCAGACACTGTTCTCTTCTCTGTGGTGGCAGTGATAGGAGCTGAGTGAATGTCTTAAAAGTTGTGTCAGCAGAGGTTTAGGTTGGACATCAGAGAGCGGTTCTTCTCCCAGTGGGTGGTTGGGCACTGTAACAGGCTCGCCAAGGAAGTGATCACAGCACCAACCTGACAAAGCTCAAGGAGTGTTTGGACAATGCTCTCAAGCACATGGTGTGATTGGTAGGGATGTCCTGTGCAGAGCCAGGAGTTGAACTCCATGATCCTTGTAGGGTGCCTTCTAAACTTGCTTGGAAAGGTTATTCAAAAAGGGCTTAAAGTACTACTACTTTTTCTGAGTTGGGCACAAAGAAGAACTTGACAAAAGTTCCCAGAATGTTCACAACCAAACTTTCCTAGCAAACCTTAGAAAATCAGGAATTTAAAGCAAACATTCAATCAAAATAATTTCACAGAGGATTGACTTAGTAAACTTTACTCATAGTCTTTATTACCCATATTTCAGAAAACAAAAATTAGGAGTAGAAAAGAGGAAAAGGAGACGAAAAGAAAGAGCAAAAACCAAGATACAAATACTGCCCTCGATGCTAGTGTGGTTTCAGCTATCCAAAGACAATAGGGACACAGCCGCATGTCCTGGGATCTGCTCTGGCTTCCTGTGGCAAGCAGCCCCCTGGGGCACTTCCAGTCATCTGGCCACTCCAGGGCTTGACTGAGGCTCCAGGGCAGAGTGTGGGACATTGCTTTCAGTGTGCCAGTGATTGGTGGCAGTTCTGAGCTAGAGGCGTCAGAAAGTGGGGTGTGGAGCAGTGCACCATCCCATTTTCTGCAGAGCTGCTCCCCCTACACACACATTTCAGTTGTTTTGAGCCAGTAATAATTTTCTTCAGTCTCTCAGTCCTCCAACTCTGTTCTAAGGTTCTATGAATCTGGCTTATTGCTGAGGGTCTTGGCCATAGGACCAGCTTAGAAGCCCCTAGAGTGGTCTCTACCCAGCGTGGAGGCAAGGCAGCATAAGTAACTGCACTTCTCCAAAATTAGGTCTAATTGAGCTCTGAATGAGGACTAAGCCAGAGGGGGAGAAAACCAGGATACCCACTCCTGTAATGCTGCACCCACTCCTTACACAAGAACGAATGTATTTTACTTTTCTGTTTCTGCACTGCAGTAAACGAAGAAGGAGGTGTTGATTCAGACTGTAATATTGGTATTAGCAAGCTAAGAGTGATAGCATGATTTTCTGTCTTGATTGCCTCATCCATGGGTGCTGGAAGACAGTTTTGATAGTTACTAAAAGATGAAAGAAAGACTGTTCTGGTTTGGCAGCTGTGTGATGATCTCATTGTTAATTTATTTAATTATGTATATTTCTTGATAAAACAGATTCTTATGAAGAGAACAGACTCAATTAGTCTATGAGTCTCAGTTTCAGCTTCTTAAAGGTCCAGATGTGTTTTTGCATGTGACTGGTTATTTCTCTTTCTGCAGATGGAGTTCACTGTCTCACGTGTGCCATGATGCTGTTGAACACAGACCTCCATGGCCATGTGAGTATGCACAGCTTTGTGTAGATTGTTCCTATCCACACCATGCTGGGACTGGGTGGTCCTGTGGCAGTCCCTGTGGCAGTCCCTGTGGTGGCCTTCTTCTGAAGCCCCTGCAGACAGCAAACAGTGAGAAGGCTGCACTCCAGGCTGTTGTCCTGGGCAGGCCTTTCCAGCACGCCTTGATCAGTCATGTGTAAGCTGGCATTGTGCCTGGTGTTCCCATAATGTCTGAGCATACACCCTCACCTTAGGGCCATCTTTCTGGTGTGATTACCATCCTTTCTGCAGCAGGTGCTGACAGGGAAGCTGTGCTTGGGATTGGCTTCCCCTTTGCAGTATGTACAAACGTGTGGGAAAGCAGAATAGAGATGTGAAATGAAGAAGTTTTGGGAAGGTCAGAAAGGGAAAGTGATGTTTGCAGGCGTTCAGTTGCAGAGGGCAGATCTGGTGAAGCAGTTTTGCACAGACAAATGATGGGTGTACTCAAAACCAAGAGAATGGAGGGGGGATATGGGCATGCTGAGTGGGAGCCCTGTGTTCCTGTACTGCACAGCTCTCCCCATTTCGTGTCTGGGTGAAATAGTATTCTTGTTTGAGTCCTCTTAGTCACACTGCTGCAGGTTGCCAGCAGCCTTAGAATGGGTATTTCAGCACCCATGTTGAGATACACCTGCTATGCAAGCTATTCCCATGCTGATGGGAGGCTTCCTCTGCCCTGAAGTTAGGAAGGAGTGTGTAAAAACACAGGGAGCATGGCATTATAGTATGCAAAAGCAGTGGTTTTAGCCAAGTGGCTCTGGGGCTTCTCTCTGGCCCTCCACTGCAGTTGCAAGGGCTCTCCCAGGATGGTGTCTGTTGGTAACTCTTACACATCAGGGGTTTTGGACTGGGCAGCAGGACATGCAGGCATCGTGGGTCTGTCTCAATGGGCTACTTAGACCCTCTGGCGGTGCAGGTAATAAAACCAAGACTTGTGTGTTCACAAGGCATTCTGAGACCCACCTCCCATTTACTGAATGCCTTTGTCTGCAGGTTGTGGAAGCAGGAGGGGATAGGGAGTTGTGAAGAATTTCTTTCTCTGAAGGCTTAGCCTTCCCTGCTGAAGGACTGGACGTGGGGTGTACAGGAATGTGCTGTGGTTTGTCTCTTAGCACACATGGCTTCCCTTGAGGACACCTGAGTCTTTCTGCACGGGTATCCCACTCCCCAGAGTGGTGAGCAGGCTGGGGCTCCTGCTTTACAGTCTGCCTGGCCTCACCAAATAATGGTCATGCATTAGCCTAGCAGCAACTCCCATTGCTCCCTGTGATGCTTTAGTAGGCTGTACTGTCTTCAGTAGGTACTGGAATAAATTATCCGGCTCTGACCCATCATTGCTGCTGTTGACTCTGGTTGTTGCAGTGTGTAACTTTGGAAACTTATCCCACTGGCAGTTGACAGTGTGTTGTTATGTATATGCAGCTGTAGTGTAGAGACTCCTACTTGCATTATGTGTGTGGGTGTGTCTTCATGTTCCCTCAAACCCCTCTGATTTCCTCTAATTTTGGTCTTCCTTTTACTGCTTTGCATTTTTCCACATAGGTGGTAAGTTTGGCATTTTTGACTTGGAATGCAGCCCTTGCAGATATACTTAATTGCCTGTTTCCTAACAGAGATAATGCTTTGCCCTATCCTTACCGGGATTCTGCTGGAGCAGGAAGCAAATGAGTCACAGGGCTTGTCTATACACTGAGCTCTATCTGTTACTGACATACTGATCATAAGCACAGACATTTCTATTTTGCAGTCAGCTCCACTGCTTGTAGGGCTGTAATGCAGCTGCCCTGCCTTCAGTTCACACTTGCTTTTAACTCTTGTAGACAAATTCTTACTTAATCCCCTTTATGTTCCCTGTCTTGCCACACTTATATTTGTAACAAAACAGTTTTTGCTAGGTGTGTCTTGGAAATGCATGCTTGGTTTTCTGCACAGAGGTCATCACCCACATTAGTGCTAGAGAGTTTTGAGGTATCTCTAGACCACCAGGCACATCTTCTGGAACCTCTGTGGCACTGTATGTTAGCTTTGATCCTGCAGCAAAACTACCGTTTGTCTGCAATGTTGGCTTTGGTCAGCATGGGGAAGCTGCCAACTGCTGCTTGGAGGAAACAAATAGAAGTAGGCTGAAGTTGCAGGGAGAAAGCAAAGCACTTGTAAGTCTGCTAGACCAGCTCCAGTCTGCGCCTGAAGACTGAAGTTACAGCTGTGTTCTCTAAGCTTTGCAACTGTAGAGCCAGGGTTACAGCCCATATGTGTTGTCAGGAGCCATGCTTTTGTGGGAAGCCATTAATTGTTCCATGGTTTCTGCTTGCCTTCTTTTTGTGGGTTTGCGCTGGCTGCAGGCTATGAGATGTTCCTTATTGGCAAGGTAAGGCTGATGGCCAAGATTTGGTGGTTTTCCTGATCATACATTATGGAAGGGAAATAGAGGATATGCACTTTAAGCTGTCATGTAATTCGTAACATCGAATGGCCTGTATTACCAACTGGTGCCCTTCCTTGGGCTCCAGTCCAGTGTTAATTTGGGTTTCTGCTCCTAGCCAAAGACAAAGCTCACGCAGAGCTCTTCTGCTTTATTTCTGCAGACAAAACATGCCCTGACAGTGGAAAAGTCTTCACTTCCATCTCCTGACTGACAGTGGTGCTATCCTCAAAGATACCATGACTGTCACAGAGCCCTATTTTCCCCTCTGTCTATACCATGTTCCACCACGCAGGCTGCTTTCCTTTTCTCAGTTATCTTTGGTGTCCTTTTTCATCAATGCAGTGTTGTAATTGTTGCTGGCTCACAAGGCTCCCTGCATGCTAAGCAGGGGCCTTCTAGCACCTGGGTGACTGAGTATAGACACTTTTTCTGAGGGGTGATGGAGGCAGGGATTCAAGAGTATTTTAGGGCAGCCTCAAACTTCTGGATGTAGTTTGGCTCCTACACAGACATGTAGGGAAAGCCAAACTGTTCCTTTCTGTTTGTGGCTTGTTTGGGCAACTTTCAGTCTGAGACTTAGACAGAAAGAGAGGAAAGAGAGTGAGCCTATGGAAATATCAAAGCAGCCTCAGCCTGTGAATCTGAAAAGGTAATGGCCATGCCCGGGTATCACACTCCACTCACAGCAGTTGCCACTGAGGTGGCATTTGAAATTGTAAAAGAAGGGTCTAGAAGGGGCCTCAGTCATGTGTTTCCTGGTGCCCCACAGCAGATTTAAGTAGAGCTTTTCCATCAGAGACTGGTAGAGCTTCTGGAGACATGGGGATGTAAGGCACCATGCAATACCAGAGATCTTCATGATTGTCCTCTTCATTACCCCCAGTATTAAGCTGGGTTTTTTTAGGGGGTATATGTGGGCCTTTGGTTGCAAAAGTACTTTCCCTTTTCTAGCTATATGCATACAAGGATGCTCATCTATGTAATCTCATGAATGTGTTCTTAGTGCAGCCTGGCTTGGGCTTAAAGGAGAGCAGGAAGATGCATTTATTCTGATGTTGCTTGCTCCTGTCATTATGGAAAGCAGCAGGAATACGATGTTGTGTTTCTCTGACACTCCTTTCAGAACATTGGGAAGAAGATGACCTGCCAAGAATTCATTGCTAACCTCCAGGGGATGAACGATGGCAAAGACTTCCCGAGAGGGCTCTTGAAGGTAAGGAATTAACTGCAGAATGTGAGTTTCATTTCTACTGAAAGATGGTTCAAAACAAAACACCCGTCTTGCATTTTCTGAATCTTAATGTCAGACATGACAAGTGGTGGGCACATTTCTCCTCCCAGAACATCCATAATATATATAATGTTTACACTCTTGTTTTCCCTGTTGCCTTCACTCGATAATGAAGGAGACTCTCTGCAGGACAGAGAGGTGAAACTGAGCTGCAGCAGGTCTCGCCCCAGAGCTGTGTGCTTTGTAAACTCCTGTGGTCATGCCAACCCAGAGTGCTGTCTCCTGATTACAGCAGACAGAAGCAGCCAGTTGGCTCTGAATGCGAATACATTAAAGGCTAAGCCTGATCTCTGTGTACAATCTGGAAGGCGTGTGTGTTTTTTCATCAGAGGTGCTTTGGGGTATTCACATTAGAGCTGGAGATGTAATTTCAGATTATAATGTGCTGTCTGGTGCAGGCTGTGTTGCTTCAGCTTTTGTTCATTAAGTTTGTGCTAGGAGTTAAATCTAAGGAATGAGGGAAGAGGCTGAGCAGGACAAACCTTGTTTTATTGTCAGTAATAATGAGAATGTTTCGCTTTTTTGTCTGATTGCTAGCATGAAACAGCACTTTGTTTAAATGAAGACAGGTATGCATACACTGGAGTTCCTAATTTATTTATTTTTTTGTAATGGAAATAAAAATAAGAGGCTGCCACATCTGAGAGCTGACCCAGTGCCTGTTGAAGCCAACCAAATGAGCTGCCATCTCTTGTGTGAGTTTTGTGTCAGGATCATTGTGAAATACAAATATATCTGCATAGTTGAAGCAGCAGAGTTTGTCTTTTACTCTTGGTAATTTCTTCATTTTCTTGATCTTCTTCAGGGAGATTTTTGTTGGACCTTTCTGCTTCAGTTCTTTTTAAGCAATGGGGAATATTAAATTTTAGATTTAATGTTTTTAATTTTTGAATCTGTATATCTGTCAGCAGCCACACTTAAATTACTTTTCCCCCCAAAGGAATCTCATTTCTCTGTTTGCCATAGAGGGATGTGTTGAGATTAATTTGCAGGCTAATTACAGCCCTTACTGAATAAATAGATCTCCAGACTGTGTTTAAATAACCTGAGTGTACTGACAAGAGACTTCCAGTGGTGCTCACCTGCTGTTTGTTTTCCTCCTGACAGAATTATGCAGTTGGGGCTGTACTTTCATGTTTAGTGCTCACCTGCTAATGCTAGGCATGTCTGACTCTTCACCCAAAGCAAATACCAGGGCTCAGGATTTTTTGGATGTAGACAGATGGAAGAAATTTGGTGTTGGTGTCCCATGTTGCTTAAGGCTTTCTGACCTTTTCTGTGTGCTGTCTTGATGGCACCCAGCTTTGTTTTCTCATCTGGCTTGTCTGAAGATTTGATAAACTGACCCTTGTTTTTTTATTTATTAGTGGAGGGGAGTGGAGTGAGTAAATTGTGCTACTGTGTTCACAGCAGCCATGCTGCCACTAAATGTGTGATTACAAAGAATTAGCGGAAATTAATTTTTTGCATTAGTCTCAATAAATTAAGTTCACAGCATCTTTATTCAGCACAGCACCAAAGTGCATGTAGCTTGCTGCTGCATTAGTTGTGTAGCCGCTGAGGATGGGTGAGGCTGCAAGCCTTCTCCCTGCATCCTTGCCTAGCTGCCTCGGAGAGGAAGAGCAGTTTCCACAGGGTGGCAGTGTGTCCCTGTGGGAGTGAGGTCCTGAGCACCCACTGGTGACTAATGCAGACCAGTGGTGAAGCAACTGGGCTTTTCTGCCTCTGCAGTCTCTCCATGTTGTCCTCGTGGCCCTGCTGCACCCTTGCATGAAGCTGTGCAGCTCTGCTGAGCCCCCAAGCAGTGGTGGAGGGGAAGGAAGGCTGGGGAGGGCTGAGTGTTCATCCAGGGCTTGTGAAGCTATGTGCAGCATTTATTGTGGATTTAGTTCTCAGATTCAGGTGTGCAAATGTGAATGCTTGTGCTATCCAGGATAGCTGGTTGACAGGCATCAGTCAGACATTGCCTTCAGCCACTCCCTGCACTGTGTGGAGTGTGTCCCTGAGTGTTTCATCTGGATAGGAAAATAGCACATCAGGGGACAGACACCAACACGTTAGGAGGGACACACTTTTGTGTGATCAGCCTCAGAAAACTTGGGACATTAGAGCAAGTTACTCCTTTCTTTTACCTCCATGGGGGAGCTATCTCTATGTTTTATTAAGTTTTTTTTCCCAACAATGAGAACACTTTTGGTACAAACCACAAGGCCTTCATGACGTGATTCTCTGTGTGTCACTAGTTGTGCTTTGAGAACAGATTATTTCACTCTGGTTTGAGAGTAGAAGTGAGAAATGCTAATGTGATTTTGCTCACCTTATGTCTTGCTGTCTGTTTATTTAACATTGAAAAAGATTTTGCTTTTGTACACCAGTCTGCACAAAGATTCATTGCCTTTTTCCTCACTCCTTTAGTCAGATCCAAGGTTGCTTTTGCAGTTGGGACTTATAAAGACAAATACGCCAAACTGTGATTAAAAGTGCACTTCTCCTCATGGGGTCTGCTTGTAGTAATACATATATATATATATATATATA